ATTTTGTCAAAATTTATTTATTTTGTTTCTTATTTTATAGCATTGATATAAGGGTACCACCAAAATAGATGGTACCAAAAGTCTTGTTTTAGTAGCGTAAACAACATTTCACGCAACCAAAACCTAAAGTAATTGAGTTAATAGAAATTTTAAGTAGTTTTTGGTACCACCATGTCATGGTACCACCAAAAAATACTTTTTTGATTAACTAACGCATTTTGTGATAGTAGAAATCAATTTTAAGGATAACTTGTAATAAAATATAATAGTAGAGGATAGAGTAAGAGGGTGGTACCAATTTTTGGATATTGGTACTACTTCAGTTAAATAAAAAACATTTATTAAAATATAAAATTACAATCAGATTACATTCCTAAAACCTCATAATTACATTAAATTAATCAGTTATTACACTATCTACAACTCGGTGGTGGTCTCAACCGGCGAATGGTCGTACGAGAACCCTAAATGCGAGTAGTCCTTCTTCTCTTTGAACATCACATTGTCATTACTCGGACTGGCATTCATTTCGTCATCATCCGGCCTTAAAACAAAGCATATAGCAAAGGTACCACTTTGGTACCACTTTGGAACCACTTTGGTACCACTTACCTATATTTCAACACGTGCCCTTCCCCGACACTGGACGCCCTTACAGTAGTCGCAGACTCGCTACTGACCGGACTTTGCCCCCCATACTTCTTCAAATTATTATCTTTACTGATATAACTGACATTATCAAGACTAAAAGCATGGTTCTTGTTACTAAAATCAAGATGGAGGTCGTTGTAGTCATCTTGTTCGTCCACTGGTACGCACATTTGTAGTACTTGCGTTTCGTACTCTTTCAAATTTGGTTCCACGTACACGGTATCGTACCGGGTTGGACTCGCTGGTACCACATACTGGCGCTGGAGTTGGTCCTTGTAGGACTTGTACCGCGACCATGACACACAAATATATATAATCCCAACTATTCCAAGGACAAAAATGATACAAGCAATGATGATCAAAGCGTAAGGGAACACTTCGCCATTGAAGGAGGCTATGGACGCGGTTTTGACCTTGTGGAGTACCAATGGTTCATGGATGTTGAACGCGGTGTTCTGGATTTGGCCGGTAATGTCAAATGTGATATTATCCATGGCCGCCTTGTCGAAAATCGAGCGTTTGACTAGAGTACTATTTCGGGGGAGGATCATGTCGGTTTCGGGGTCAATCACGTAGAACCAAATATCGGTACCTGAAGGGTCACTTTCGAGGGTACCATTGGTACCAATGAACTCTCTTGTGGTCAGTTTCTCAACACCGACGATAAGACCAGTTTGGTCTTGGATAATATCAGTTATCAAAGTTAGTTTTTTTTGGACTATGTCTGGTTTTGCGTCTCCTATCACTAGTACCAAACGATTGTCTTTTGTTATCAAATTGATAACAACAGGTGCTTGGATTTCGTTGTGGTCAGTCGCATTGGGGTTATCACGGGTTTTGACAGTCAATTTGAAGGGTAATTGACTATCGTCGATGTCGTCAAAAGTCTTTTTCGTTTTGATAATACCGGTACCAGAGTCAATAGAAAAGTACTCGGTTTTGTCAAGGGAAAATTGGAGTTTTCCGAATTTTCCACTGTCTTTATCATCAGCCTTGATTTGGGTTACTGTCGATAAAAGAGGGGAGTTGGCTGTAATAGCCGCGTGGTACTTCTTGGTACCACTCGGGAAAATAAAAAAGGGAACATTATCATTGACATCAACTATGTTAATAGTAACTTCGGTTACACTAAACTCCTTGTTGATGAACCCTTGGAGTGACATTATTTGGACTTCGAGTTGGTACCCCTCCTCAAATTCAAAATCAATGGTACCATTTAAGTACAAAGCACAATTGCGGTCTTCAGTCACATTGACGAGAAATTTTCCTAGAAATAAATGAAATGATAAAAAAGGCAAAATCAGTGGTACCAATGGTACTTTCGTCATTTCCAGAGATTATGACACACTTGAGTGGGATATTCCCGCCATGGGTTCGACTATTCACAATAGTCAAAGTTTTGATTTTGGTACCAGTAGTTGCATTTTCTGGTACCTGGACGTGGTACGACGTTTCGGCGAATTTCAAACCAACTTCAGGAGCGACTGTTGCCACATGTTGGATGTAAATATCTAAAGTTATAACTGAGGATAATTGTGGTTCCCCCAAGTCGTACGCCCGAACGTCGACCTGAAAAACACAATTAGACATTTCCAGCGGTACCACTTGATGGTACCTGGTATTCCGTATCAATTTCTTTTTTGAGATCATTTGTTACTTTTAAAATTCCACTATCTGAATCAATTTGGAAGTACTTTGTGGCCTTTCCGCGTCCTATAATCTCATACCGGACCTTATTCCCCGGTGCGGTACCATCCGAATCCGTTGCAACCAAATTAGTGACAGGAGTACCAATCCCCACATCATCATCAAGTGTGATAGGGTGTGGTATGATGGTAAACACCGGTGGTATGTCATTGCGATCATCAACATTAATGATGACCTTGGTGGTACTACCTTCCCGATTCGACATATTTTCAAGAGTACCAATGGTTAGGACGTGCTGACTGTCTTTCTCGTAGTCCAAACCGCGGATTGTGTACACCGCGCCGCTGTTTTCGTCAATCCTGAAAAGGTCAGTTGGGCCTTGATGGATGACATAGGTGATTTTTTTGACAGTGTCGAGGTCTTCAGCCTGGAATTTGGACTCGTTATTGGTACTCGAGTATTAGGACGTGAGGTACCTTAACGTCGGTTACGAAATAGTCGGGGATGTTTTCGGGTACCACCACTTCATATAGCGATTTTGTGAAGATTGGTACCTCGTCTTCGATGTCTATAACGGAGATGGAGACAGTGGCGGTGGCGAGGCGGGGGTCAGGGGCGCCGTCTTTGGCCGTCACCACAAACTGGTAGTTCTGTAATGGTACCAATCAAAAATTTGGACTTTTTTGGTACTATTGAAAAGTACCTTTTGGGTTTCGTAGTCCAATGCACGGTTGGTTCTTATCTCTCCGGTCTCATTATCAACGTCAAAGGGCATACCAGAGGGTATGGAGTACGTAACAAGGGCATTAATACCCTCATCGGCGTCTATAGCCTTCACAAAACCCACCGAAGTACTATTCAAGCCTTCTTTCACAGAAAAACTATACGGATCGCCTACAAATTCCGGATTCTTATCATTTATATCAGTCACTTTTATATTAAGGGTGGCTGTGGATGATAATTTACCGGCATCTTCGGCCTTTATTATCTAAAAAAAATATTTAATGGCTGAAGAATTAGGAAAAAAACCTACAAGTTTGTATCTAGTCAAATCCTCCCGATCCAATTTTCGGATGACTGTGATCACACCCGATTTGGAACCAATTGAAAATTGTCTCAGGTCGTTTCCTGAGACTATTGAGTAAGTCACTGGGTCATTTTCAGGGTCCATAGCCTAAAAAAAAATATTGTGCCACCAAAATGACCAGATTTGGGTCCAAATGAAATGTTTTGGTTTGACTTTTGGGGGTCAAATCTGGCTATTTTGAATCTCCTAATTCCAAATATAGCCTTGGTTTGAAAATTTAAGCCTTTATTTTCAATTTTTGCCACTAGAATGACCCGATTTGTATCCCCTTGAAACGCCTTGGTTGGGTTTTTACTATTTAGTGGCAATTTATCGGTCTTATCCGACTAGTTTGGACTTTAAGTGTGTTATTTAACAATTTGGGCCTTAATGGACCCTTTCAAAAATTTCCAAATTTTGGGCAAAGTACTCGTGGTAGAATTTTTTTTTGCACATTTGAAATCCTTACCGTGATCGTAGCCACCGTGGAGTTGATGGTGGCCCCCTCGCTGACCTCAATCTCATACACCGACTGTTCAAAAACGGGGCTTTGTGTGTTGGGCCCTGGACTGATGGTCACTTCCACTATGGCTTGGGTGTATAGCCCCCCTTTATCCGTCGCTTGGACGGTCAAACTGTACTGATCGCCGGCATTTAACTTCCCCACTGTCTCAAGTACCCCCGAATTGGGGTCAATCCGAAACTTGTTATTTCCATTATTCGAAACGTGATAAATCGAGTATGTAACTACTGCGTTATCACCTTCATCATTATCAGTCGCTTTGATTGTCGCTACTTTACGTTTCACATCACCGGCGGGGACCGCCACGGGGGCTATAATGGGCAACATGGGGGCGTTATCGTTAACATCGTTCAAGTGCACGGTCACAGACATGGGGGCACTTGCGGCGGTACCACCTCTCTCGCGAGCGACAAGCTGGAATTTGAAACGGCCGGGGTTGGGGGGGTCGCGGTCTAGATTGTTCTCGTTGACCAACAAGTGCCCCATTTTGTCGATTGTGAAAAAAGGGGTCGTTAGTTCGAAGGAGTAGGAGGGGGTGGGGTCATTAGGGCCCTAAAACACAATTTTGGGGGTGAAAAATTAAAGTTGGTGCAAACTCACAAAATCCTTATCAGTCACTGATATAACCAATGGTACCCCTTGCGAGTCTAGGACTTTCTCCCCAATTGGGGAGTTTTCGTTAACGAACCCTTCGGATGCTGATAATTCAATTTCAGGAGGGTTTGCATCGACTGGTTTTACAGTAATGAAAAGTTTCGCTGTTGTTGAGCGTTTTGCTTCGGATATCTCTTGTGCCTGGAGGAAAAATCAAAGTTTGACCCAGTTTTTAGCTTGTAATTGGGGAAAATTACGTGTAATAAGCTTCATATCGGAGAAATAAAAACGCAAATATTGACTGCTTGGAATAAATTAAAAAAGTAATTAAGATACACGCAAAGTTAGCCGAAATTCAATGAAATAATCAATAATTTTAAGAAAAAAGTTAAAAATCCAAGTAGGCAGTTCTTGTAGTACCACAAGAGTGAAAAAGAAAACAAGAGTTGGTACTAATTTTGGCTAAAATTTAATTTTGAAGTCAAAGAACCAAACGGTACCACCGCTACACACAAAATTAGCCGAAATTCAACGATGTAATCAATAATTTTAAGAAAAAAATCAAAAACCCAACTAGGCAGGTCTTGTGGTGCCACAAGAGTGAAACAAACAACAAGACTTGTTACTAATTTTCGCCGAAATTCAATTTTGAAGTCAAAGAACCAAACGGTACTACCGCTACACGCAAAATTAGCCTAAATTCAACGATGTAAGCAATAATTTTAAGAAAAAAGTTAAAAATGCAAGTAGACACGCCTTGTAGTACCACAAGAGTGAAACAGAAAACAAGAGTTGTCACTAATTTTGGCTAAAATTCAATTTTGAAGTCAAGGAACCAAACGGTACCACCGTTACACGCAAAGTTAGCCGAAATTCAACGATGTAAGCAATAACTTTACGAAAAAAGTTAAAAATTCAAGTAGGCAGGCCTTGTGGTACCACAAGAGTGAAAAAGAAAACAAGAGTTGTTAGTAATTTTGGCCAAAATTCAATTTTGAAGTCAAAGAACCAAACGGTACTACCGCTACACCGAAATTCAACGAAATAAGCAATAATTTTAAGAAAAAAGTTAAAAACCCAAGTAGGCAGGCGTTGTAGTACCACAAGAGTGAAAAAGAAAACAAGAGTTGTTATTAATTTTGACTAAAATTCAATTTTGAAGTCAAGGAACCAAACGGTACTACCGCTACACGCAAAGTTAGCCGAAATTCAACGATGTAAGCAATAATTTTAAGAGAAAAGTTAAAAATCTAAGTAGGCAGGCCTTGTGGTACCACAAGACTGAAAAAAAAACAAGAGTTGTTACTAATTTTAGCCAAAATTCAATTTTATTTCAAGAACCAAACGGTACTACCACTATTGGTGCTGTGGTACTATCACATTGAACAATTTTGGTACCACTAATTCACATTATTTTAGTTTCCATGTCATCAAACAATCATTAAAATGGTAAATGGTACCACTATTGGTACCACCTTACCTTGATGATGATGTTAAATTGTTTGGTGGTTGAGGTGTCCACGGCTTTGACTTGTCTCACAGCCCCCGTTTCTGGGTCAATTTGGAAGTACTCCGAGTACGATTCAGGGGTACCACTAACAAAAGAGTAGTGAATAGGCGAGTTGATGGTATCCATGTCCACTGCTTGAATTTTTTCGGGTGAAATATTAAGAATCCCGTGGAGAACACCACTGGAGACCTAAAAAACACACATTTAGTAAAATTTTCTCAAAAAATTGAGTGGTACCGAGGCTGAGTATTCGGGATTGATGCAGGTACCATCCAACAGCATGCACCCCTTGTATATGAAGGATGGGTTTTGGTCGTCGTCATCTTTAATATTGACTACAAGCGTCGTCGTTGATGATAGTCGTTGCGTGTCGTCGTGAGCCCGGTCCTAGAACCCACAATGGTACCACTGGTACTACAAAACCGGTTATTACGTACCGCAGCCACGACGGTGACGTAATATCTCTGAGTCTTCTCAAAGTCTAGAGTTCTGTTAACCGTAACTTGACCCTGATGTGGTAAATTAATGGCGAAGTACCCGAACCCATCTTCGCTGTGAACCCTATCGTCGTCCTCGTGAGCTAAATTCTCGCCTTTCACAATCGAATACTCGACTAAGCCATTGACGCCGGCGTCTTTATCTTTGGCTAAAATGTCTTGGAAGATTGTGGTACCGACAGGTGTGAGCTGGAAAAAGACTTGAGTACCAGTGGTACCACTAATTTTTGGGTAAATTACCTCCGAAATGCTCGTTTCGTATGGCGTGTTAACGAATTCAGGTGCATTATCGTTAATATCACTCAGTCTTACAATTATTGGTACAGTTCGTTTCTTGTGAGTCGATTTAATTGTGCAAATTAACTAAAAAAAGTACCAGTTACTAAACTGTATAAATTATGCATAATTATAATTAATTTGCAAGTTGTGGTGCAAGTACTTGGCTAATTTGCGTTCGAGATTGATTTGATCGATGCAAAACAGTCAATGGCCGCGAGTGGTACCACTACTACAAGTCGTACCAGTACCATGCACTTTATTTTTTTTTACATTTTCTAAATTAAGAAATAAGTGGTTCCAAACAAGCAATTTAGACCTTTTTAAAAAATGTGGTACCAAGTTTTTTAAAAATAGTACCAGTCGTACCAAGATGTAGTGTCAAATTTTTCTAGTAGTATCAAGAATAGTAAATTTGCAGTTTAACATATTAATAAAGATAATGGTCCTTTTTCAATTTCTAGTAATACATTTATATCGGTGGTACCACCTTAATAAGATATCTGATATAGTTAAGTTTTTTTTCAAAATACTTTATTTTGGGTTAGAACAAGAGTGATAATTTTTGTAAGTATATGATTATAGTACAATGGTACCAGTTTTTGCAGTAGTACCATCTTGAAATGTCAATCAAGCCACCCACACATTCGTATATTTGCTACTATTTAGCGCAACGTACATAAGTGGTTCAAGCAAGCAATTTAGACCTCTTTAAAGAGTGTGGTACCAAGTTTCTAAAAATAGTACTAGTAGTACCAAAATGTGGTGTCAAATTTAGTACTAAGAATAGGAAAATTTGTTGTTTAATATTAGTCAAGATAATACTAATTTTTCAATTTCTACTAATACATAAATATCAAAATAGTACCTCGATGGTACTAACTTAATAAGATACGTGATACACTTTAATTTTTCTTAAAATATTTCATTTTGGGTTACAACAGTAGTAATAATTTTCGTATGTATATGATTATAGTTCTATGGTACCACTTTTTTGCTGTAGTACCCATCTTGCAATGCCAGTCAAATCACCCCACACTTTCAAATATTTGCTGCTATTTAGCGAAACGTAGATAAATGGTTACAAGCAAGAAATTTGGACCTACTCAATGAGTGTGGTACCAACTTTTAAAAAATAGTACTAGTAGTACCAAAATGTGGTGTCAATTTTTTGTCTATAGTACCAAGAATAGTAAAATTTATAGTTTAATATACTACTGAAGATAATGGTACTTTTTCAATTTCTGATAATACAGATATATCAAAATAGTACCTCGGTGGTACTAACTTAATAAGATATGTAATAGTTAATAGTTTTTCTGTAATTATTTTATTTACAACAATAGTGCTAATTCTTGTGTGTATATAATTATAGTACTATAGTACCACTTTTTGCGGTAGTACCCATCTTGAAATGCCAGTCAAACCACCCACTTTCGCATATTTGCTACTATTTAGCGCAACGTAGATAAGTGGTTCCAATCAAGCAATTTGGACCTCCTTAAAGAGTGTGGTACCAAGTTTTTAAAAATAGTACTAGTAGTACCAAAATGTAGTGCCAAATTTGTCTTGTGGTACCAAGAATAATAAAATTTGTAGTTTAATCTAATAATCAAGATAATGGTACTTTTCCAATTTCTAGTAATACATATATATCTAAATTATATATCTAAATAGCACCTTGGTGGTACTAACTTAATAAGATATGTGATAGAGTTTAGTTTTTCTAAAAATATTTTGTTTTGGATTACAACAACAGTGCTAATTCTTGAATGTATATGATTATAGTACTATGGTACCACTTTTATGCACTAGTACCCACACTTTCGCATATTTGCTACTATTTAGCGCAACGTAGATAAATGGTTCTAAGCAAGCAATTAAGAGTCTGGTACCAAGTTCTTAAAAATAGTACTAGTAGTACCAAAATGGAGTGGCAAATTTTGCCTGTAGTACCAAGAATAGTAACATTTTTAATTTAATATACTAATCAAGATAATGGTACTACTTTTTCAATTTCTAGTAATACATATATATTAAAATAGTACCTCAGTAGTACTAACTTAATAAGATATGTGATACAGTTTAATTTTTCTAAAAAGAGTTCATTTTGGGTTACAACAATACTGCTAATTTTTTTATGTAAATGATTATAGTACTATGGTATCACTTTTTTTTACTATTTCACACGATAAGTGGTTCCAATCAAGCAATTTAGACCTCTTTAAAGAGTGTGGTACCAAGTTTTTAAAAATAGTACTAATAGTACCAAAATGTAGTGATAATTTTTTCTAGTAGTACCAAGAATAATAAAATTTGTAGTTTAATATACTAATCAAGGTAATGGTACTTTTTTTAATTTCTAGTACTACATAATATCTAAATAGTACCCGGTGGTACTAACTTAATAAGATATGCGATACAGTTTTGTTTTTCTGCAAATTAATTTTTGCAGTAGTACCCATCTTAAAATGTCAATCAAGCCATCCCCACTTTCGCATATTTGCTACAATTTCGCGTAACGTAGATAAGTGGTTCCAAGCAAGCAATTTAAAGAGTGGTGCCAAGTTTTTAAAAATAGTACCAGTAGTACCAAAATGTAGTGTCAAATTTTACCTCTAGTACCAAGAACATTAAAATTTGTAGTTTAATGTACTAATCAAGATGATAGTACTGTTTCAATTTCTAGTACTACATATATATCAAAGTGGTACCTCGGTGGTACTACCTTTATGAGAGATGCGCTACAGTTTAACATTTCTGCAAATGGCAATTCTCGCATGTTTATTATTATGGTACTACGGTACCACTTGTGGGTACCACTTTTGCATCTTGAAATGCCAGTCAAGCCACCCACACCTTCCGCTCGCTTAAAACCTTCGCATATTTGCGACAATTCAACGCAACCTTGATTTTTTCCTTTCTTCCTTAACCACCGAAAAATACTTTCCCGTTAATTTCAGTCACGAAACAAGCTTAAATAATCGCTTCTGTAACAGTAGTACCTTTCACTTAGCGAAAGTACCTGAAAAACAATATGCGAGAGACTGTTCTCGTCCCGATCCAGGGGTGCCAACAGTTGCAGTTTTTTCCCATTGAGGAAAAACAGTGCAGGTCCTTTGGGAAAAGCCAAATCGAGGAAAATATCAACATTGGGTTCGCCCACAATTGGTAACTCTGGCGGAACGGTTTCTTGACTAATTGCTGAAATGGGCAAAAATCAGATAAGCGTGTCGACTTACAAAACCGCTGATTAGGAAATTAATTAAAGCAAACAATTGCAACCTAATTAAAACACTCACATTTTCCGCGACTTTCTTCAATGTCCAATATTATGTTCGATTGACCCGACTCCACTTCACATAACCCTGAAACATAATTAATTAATTAATTAATTAATTAAGTACACAATTGAATCGATTGCGAAGCTCCCAACTCATTACAGACACAATTATCAAAGATGGAGGTACAAAAACTAGCATTAAAACGACCAAAAACCAATTTTTTGTTACAGAATTTCGAAAATTCGGCTATCTACCTAAATATCCTTAAACCCACAGCGAAATACTCCTTATATCTCGGATTTTCGCCGTTTACCACCAAAAACGGCCAAATAGTACTATCCCGTACCCGTCTAGTACCTAGTACTATTCTAGTACTCACAAACATCACCCTTACTATCATCTACTCGAACAGTTTCACCGAAACTGGCAATTTCACTAAAGCTGAAACCATCAAATTTTTGACACTTTTCCGCGACTTGGGTAGTACCACCATCATGGTACTCAATCTCTTCAACTCGCAATTTTACTTTGAGAAAAAATTGGCCCAAATGAGAGAAGTCCATTATGTTGATACACAATTGAAAGAAATGGGCCTGGATTTTGATAAGAGCCAAGTTTTGGTTAAACGACATTTGGTACTGCTTTTGGTACTCGTCAATTGGATTTTCACCACTTGTGGGGAGGTTTTCAGCGCATGGGTGCGTCACGATAACCAAATTTTGTTCTTTTTGGTCAATTGGTACCCGAGATTGATCATCGGGATCATGAATAGTACCCTAAATTTGATATTTCTGCTGATCCAGACTAGGTTTGAGATGATAAACGAGGTTATCACCAAGGAAATTGTTAGGTACCCAAACAGTACCCGGGTTGGTACCACTATCAAAAAGTTGATCACTATTCACAAAATTCTAGTGAAAGTGAGTAGAGAAATCAACTCGATTTTTGCATTCCAAGTACTCATGTGTACCACCATGAATTTTGTACTCCTAATCGGGGATTTACACACCTCCATGTATATCATTTTCTTCGATTTGTTTTATCATCACTATAAAATTGTCCTTGATATGATAAAAAATTGTATCACTTATGTTTTTGAACTGTTTTATTTATCAAAACGTGCGAGTGATCTTTGTAATGAAGCAAACAGAACCAAGGTACTACTCCTCGGGTTAAACATTGATATTGATAAGGAGAATGAACGCAATGTGGTAAGTACCACTTATCAAAATTTGGTATTTTATCACCATTTCCAGGTCATCACTTCGGCCTTGAAACTGATGCAAAACAAGCTTGAGATTACAGCTTGTCGCTTGTTTAATATTGATAATGCACTACTATTTTCGGTATTTTGGTACTAGTTTGATATTTTTGATAATTGATGTCCGGTTCTAGATATGTGGAGCCGCCTCTTCGTACTTGTTTATTATGTTACAGCTTGATATTGGGAGCAAAATACAAGCCACAAATTCAACTTTGTAACTTATCAAAAATAGTAGTACTATTTGATGTTTACGTGATATTGTGTCAAGAATAAAGAATCAAACTTAACTTTATGAATTTTATTATTAAGCTGAAGCATAACAAAGATATAGGTGAAAACGGCATTACTTGGAATTTTGGTATTGATATTGGTATTGATATTGATATTGGTATTGATATTGGTATTGATATTGGTATTGATATTGGTATTGGTATTGGTATTGATATTGGTATTGATATTGGTATTGATATCGGTATTGATATTGGTATTGATATTGGTATTGGTATTGATATTGATATTTGATAATCAAATCCTTACCGAATGAAGCAAGGAATAATTGATATTGATAAGTCTAAACGGTGTTATTTCGACTTTGGTGTTTGATAATTTCAAACTGGAAGCTACAATCTTATCAAAAGTTTGATAAAAGGACCGATTAATTATATACGATTATTTTATATACGATAATATTTTGTACTATATTTTTAACATCGATAAAAGCAACAATACCTTTATTAGTATCAAAAAAGATAACGCTGATACTCGTGTAGATAACAAGTCACAAACTCAACTTTGTAACTTATCAAAAATAGTAGTACTATTTGATATTTTCGTGATATTGTGTCAAGAATAAAGAATCAAACTTAATTTTATAAAACTTTATTATTAAACTGGAGCATAACAAAAATATAGGTAAAAACGGCGTTACATAGCTGGAATTTTGTTATTGATATTGATATTTGATAATCAATTCCTTACCGAATGAAGCAACGAATAATTGATATTGAAAAGTCTAAACGCTGTTATTTGGACTTTGGTGTTTGATAATTTCAAACCAGAAACTACAATCTTATCAAAAATTTGATAAAATCCCCGATTATCAAAAAACTTACAAAATTCCGTTTTTCTTCATCTAGAATACCAACATCGCTTTCTAGTAGTAGTTGTCTTGTCATGTTTGCCTAAAACTATCAATTTTGATTATTATCAAAATTTTTGATACTAGTACCTGGAAGCAAAGATCGCTACATCTCTTGACCAAATAGAACAATTCGATAATATTTTGTACTATATTTTTAACAGCGATAAAAGCAACAATACCTTTATTAGTATCAAAAAGGAGAACACTGATACCCGTGTACATATCAAGTACCGTTTGAGCAAAATAAAAAGTCACAGATATCAAAATCTGGAACCCAAACAACGAATTCAAAATTTTAATCAACAGTTGTAGTTTTTTGTGACATGAAAGTAAGTCCAAAACTGTGGCCTTTTTTAGGCCTTTTTGGACGAATAGCTTGTTTATCAATTCGACTCGGTTTTGGACTATCAAAGTTTGTATCAAAAAATAGGTAAAAAACGTGGTGGAAAAAATTCGGGAGTATTGAAGGGTGATAAAATTTGAGAAATAGTCGTTCCTTTTGAGGAGAATTTGAGTGATAAGCTCTGATGATAAGTTTAGAGCAAAAACTGTAATAATGATAAGGGCAATTGAAGTTTTTTTGTGCTTCAGTACTAGGTTTGATAATCGTTTTTTTTGTCCAAGAGCCTCTAGTTTGATATCAATTTCTAGTAACATCTTCCGAATTAATTTCAAGTCTCCATTTCGAAATACTATTCGATATAGGATTGACAACATATTTAAACCCCAGAAGAAGACTCGACAAAATACTACTAGTGCTATAGTAGTAGCTCTAGTAACGTTCAAAAATTGATAATTTTTGATGAAAATCCACGTCGATACAAACCACACTGTCTGATATAGTACCACTCGTAAAAGTTTGAATTTGGAGTAGACCAAACCCGTTTTTGTGACCTTGAAGATGTTTAACCCTAAAATATCACTCGCGATAAGTATAGGTTTAAAAACTTCGTCCAAGGAAACCATTTTGTGGCCAGTTATTGATCCACGAAAGCGTAAACAACAATCAAATTAATCCAATTTTTCTCCAATCAATAGACATTTTCACACTTATGGTCAGTCCAAACTTATCAATTCCAAGATGAAAACCTTATCAATCCGCCAAATCACCCTTCCAACATCCATCACTTTTCAAATTCTAGGAATCAACTTTAGCTCGTACCACAACCGTTCCAGAATTAAACTTTTGATAACAGTACTATATTTATCAATTTTCGGGTACTACCTTCAAGTTTTCGCCAAGTTTTTTACACGTCCATCAAAATTTGCCTTGTGGCGAGTACTTAAACTTGTCACATTTTGTCGTACTTTTGGAGCTGCTGTTTTCATGGTTCTAGTACTAGTACTAGGACACGTCAAGTTCTACCAACATTTAGTACTCCTTGCACGTCAGATTAAAGAAATTGACAGGAGTTTAAGCACGATGGGGTTTGATGAGTACCTTGCAAAGGCCAACTACCGACATCGTAGTAGTACTATCAAATTGATAATTTTGATAAATGTGATTTTCAATGTTCTATTGGAAGTGTACCGAATATGGAAATTTGGATTTGGATACTGTGTCACAAACATTTATCCCAAACTAGTGATAAGTACCATGAATATAGTATTTTATCAATTTGCAATTATTATAGAAGAACGCTTCAAAATTATCAATAAACTGTTTCAAAATCGTGTCAAAAGTACTCGTGTCGTACTATTACACAAATCTTTAACACATATTTCGAGAAGTTTGAACTCGATTTTTAATATACATTTCTTAGGTTTGATAGTACTCTACTTCGTTATTATCACAGCTGAAATGCATGTTTGTACCTTCTATTTTCTCTTTAATGTCTCATCAAAATTCTCCCTAATTGTGTTTATGGCGGCTAAAAATAGTATAAGTAGTACTTTTGAAATTTGTTATTTGACAAAAAGGTGTACTAGTCTTTGTTACCAGGTGATTGATAATATGGCCTTTCCCTAGTACTATTATCAATTTTTAAGGCCAATCGTTCGAAGAAGCTGTTACTGGGTACTAGAATTGATATTTTTCGGGAAAATGAACGAAATGAGGTGAGTACTATTTTTGTGACATTGTAGTACTAGTACTCCTATTGTAGATTATCAATTTAACGTTAAAAATAATGAGGAGTGAGCTAAAAATAACCGCTTGTGGCCTTTTCACTATCAATAATAGTTTATTGTACTCGGTGAGTACTATCAAAATTTTTGATAATTTCAAAATTTTCTCAATTTCTAGCTATTCGGAAGTGCATGCTCATACATTTTCGTAATGCTTCAATTTGATAAAGACAATTAATCATTATAATCAATTCCATTTATCATTAATTTAGTAAAAGTTTTAATCATCAAAATGAACCTCCAGCAAGTCCTACAACCTGCAACTATCAAATTGCAAATTTTGGGTTACAATTTTGGGAAATTATCAAAACTTAAAATTTTGCATACTATCACTAGTTTGATAGTGTGTCTAGTAGTGACCTTTTTCTATTGGAAGAATCGTAAGGTCAAATTTGGGTTTGCGTTAAACAAGGTTGTGTTCACGGCGGCTGTGAGTCGCTCACTGGGGACGATTCTAGTGATGATAATGGTACTATCACTGGGTTATTTGGGTTATTTTAACAAAATCGTGGTTTTGACCAAGAAAATCAGCGATATTGATCAAGTTTTCAGCGAGTTTGGACTTGATATTGGTACTCTCAATCAAAAACATAGAAAAATTCTAGTGGTACTAGTACTAGTAAATTTATTTCTCCATGGTTTGGTAGACTGGTCTACGGTACGTTTGGTACCTTTGAACCCGTACCAATTTTTGGTCGCGGTTGTGTACCCCAGAATGGTAGTTAGTACCTTCAATATAGTCTTCTATGTCTATACCCAAATCCTTGAGGAGAGGTTCAAATTGATGAATTTGATAATAGTACAAGAACAATATTTTTCAAAAAAGATCAAAAGTCTGGTAGTACTCCACAAAACTTTGGTTAAAGTTGCTAGAAAATTGAACCAAATTTTTGGACCACAACTCCTGTTGTGGGTTTTATTGAGTGTCATGGTCGTGACTCTCGAGCTCCATGTTTTCTTTTTTTCCCTTTTTAACAAGCTTTTAGGGCAGTACCCTACTGGTACCATAGCTGTCAAAAATGCATCACTTTTTATTTTTGATTTGATTTTTATCGCCCACAGGTGTAATAAATTATGCAATGAGGTCAGTATTGATATTTTTGATAAATTTTTGATAATTGGTTTAAGGCCAATAAAACGGTTTTTTTATGCTACAGTTTCAAAGTTGATATCAACGATGAAGAAACAAGAAATGATTTTACCAAATTACAATTAAAGTTATCAAATAAGCTTGAAATAACAGCTTGTCGAGTATTCAAAATTGATAATTCCCTTTTTCTGGAAGTAAGTATCAAAGTCGTTAAAATTGATTAAATTGTGTTTTATTTCAGATATTCGGATCTATTGCTTCTTATTTATTCATAATGTTACAATTTGATGGGCTTATTACTTAAGAAAGTTTTACAAAATCGATTATTTAGTTTCTTTAAGTTGGTCGCAATGTACGAACAAATTTTTTACCCAATTGATACAATATCAAAAATTTTTGGTACTCATCAATCAAAAGTGAGAATTGTACAATGTTTGATAAGTACCACCGGGATAGTACTACTATCACTTTACTACTATTTCTATCAATTGAGCGAAATCGTGAAGACAGTCCAATTTCTAGTAGTACTACGGTACTTCTCACAACTGATAGGTTTAGTACTCATGGTAATCATCAATTTTTTTCAATTTGGACGAGTACAAGACGTACTTTCAAATCTAGCTCAAGTCGATCAAGAATTGATAAAGTTAGGCCAACAACGAGGCCTTATCAAAATTAACCAAAATCACAAAAAATGGGCTAGAATCCTAGTACTTGTTTTCAATGTTGGGGCCAACATTTGCGGGATAACTTTTAGTGTTCTCTTGAGGAAGAATCCTGAAATCGTCCATTTGATAGTACTCGCGTATCCTCGGATAGTACTGTGTAACTTTAGTACGACCTTCTTTGTACTATCAATAATGTTACAAGACCGATTTTCCATCATTAACAAAGTACTAAACAGAAAAAAGTGTCACAATTTTGATAGTACTATCACACGACTAGTACAAGTCCATTCGAATTTGATCAAAATTATTGATAAAATCAATAAAATTTTTAATCCCGTGATAATGTACTTTTTTACTATCGATTTTGTACTAATTTTGGGCGACTTGTATATCATTTCGAGTACTATCTTGTTCAATATTAGTTCAAATAATAAACTTATGGCTTCTTTGATAAAAAATTGTGTTTTTTATATCACCGAATTGATATATTTTACAGTCAGATCAGCACGACTTTGCTCCGAGGTAAGTGAGTAGTACTATCAAGAGTACTATCAAATATCATATTGTAGGCCAATCGGACTGTTATTGCTTTGACTGGACTACCTGTACAAATAGTTGATGAAAAAAACAGAAATGCGGTCGTTTTTCCAGTCTTAAGAATGCTTGAAAATCGAGTCCAAATCACAGCTTTTGGCTTCTTTAGTTTGGACTACGAATTGTTATTTTCGGTAAGTCCAAACTAGTTTGGATAATGAGTACCATTTTTTTCAGATGTGGAGTACTACTTTCTCTTATTTGTTTATAATGTTACAAATTAACACCGACAAGTAGTTTTATCACAATATCAAAATATAGTACTACTATCAATCGATGCTAGTATTAGTGCAATAAGACACAATTAGTTGTATTTGTGTGGTACTACCTCCTCTTATTTACTTTTTATGTTCCAATTCGAATTTAAAGATCAATAAACAATTAATTATGTTAAAAGCTGTTTTATTTACTTATTAAACTAATTGTTAAAAACATGTTTTCGTCCAGTTATTGATAAAATAATGATAAGACTTACAACCCAACAAATTTTTACCCTCCTATGGACATTATCGAAATTTTTTGGAATGACACCAATTTACCTCAACCAAAAAAAAATAATTTTCACAAAAACATCACTCTTTTGTTGTTTAACATGGATCACAGTTTGTATCACAAGTCTAGTAACATTCTTTAACAACTTGCCACACACTATCAGTCACGATTTTGTCAAAATGAGGTCGATTCGAGTCCTTCTAGCCCTTCATTCGGCCGGAATGTTTGTTTTAGTGGTTTTGATACTAGTTTTCGTGTTTGTAAACTGGGCCAAAGTACGTCATCAAGTCAAAATTTTGTTACTGATTGATTTAGAATTGAAAAAACTCTATCAAAGTCACAATGAAATCAAATTGATCATAGTACTAGGACTCGAATTGCTCGTTTTTAATGTTTTGAGTGGGGCATACATGGCGGCAATCAAACCAAACAATCGGGTAGTTTTTTTTGTTATTATGACCCTCCCGAGAATGGTAGTCAGTCATATGTTTGTGATTTATAGTACCATTATCGTGGTACTATATCAAAATTTCAAAATAGTTAATAAAATCATCACAAAACGGTTTGATTCAACCCGAATCCGTCAAGTGTTACTTTTACATAAAAAATTGACCAAGATTGGTACTACCATAAATTCAGTGTTCTCAATCCAATTGATAGTTTTTATCACAACTAGTTTTGTACTACTAGTTGGTGATTTGTACGTAATTTTGTATATGGTTCTCACCAAGATTCATACAAAGTACTGTACGACTTTGATAGGACTTGTCAAAAATTGTATAATTATTATCTTCGAACTGTACTATTTATCAAATGTGTGTCAAAATGTTTGTGATGAGGTGAGTACCAATTATCATTGATAACGTCCAATGAGTGATTTAAAGGCAAATCGGACGAAATTCCTACTTGTTTGTACCAAAATTGGTATCAACGAAGAGAAGAAACGAAATTTGGTACCATTTTGTGATAATAGTACTAGAATTATAGTGTTTGGATTTCAGGTGATTGGTTCCGTTTTTCGACTCATGCACCGACATTTGGAAATCACAGCTTTAAAATTGTTTACGATTGATAACAAGTTGTTGTTTGGGGTACCAAGGTACTATAGTACGATTTGTGATAATAGTACTATTCCAGATTTTTGGGGCCGTTGCATCTTATCTCTTTATTGTGCTGCAATTAGATGTTGTACCAATACTATAACTAGTACTACTAGTACTAGATATATCAAACTGAAGCATGACGAACAAATACGAAAATGCGGTACCACACATCTGAAAATTCGATCAAACATTTGGTACTTCTAGTGATGATTACAAACCGAGAGAATTAGGGTTTTCTTCAATGGGAATAAATTGAAAACTGTTATTTCTAGTTCGTTTCTCAACATATCAAAGTACGACTCTATTATCTAAAATTTGGTTTCAAAAATGGTGAAATATTAATAGAAACTTACAATTTCGCGTCCAAAATTATTAAAACCAATCCGGGTACCCAAAAGTACGACTTTGGTACCATTCGCCTCCTTACACAAATCAGCCGCCATTTTGATAAAAAAGAACAATTCAAAAGTGTAAAGTAGACAGTTTTGGGCATTAGCTAGAACCACTTTCCAGTGAACTAAATACATTTTCAAAATTAGAGAATACACAAACATATATAAGTCCCCAACAAGAAGAATAAAATAAAGGATAAAAAGTACCAAAATATGGGGGACAAAAATCGAGTTTAAGTTTTTACAAATTTCAACTCCAGTTTGATGAATCAAGGTTAATTGCCTAATTTTATGAATTGGGTACTTGGGTAGAACATTATTAATGACCTTGAAACGTTCATACATCACTTTGGCCAAAATCAAAAAAGTGGTACTCGTGGTACTAATAATAAATTTCGTGGCGGCGACTAAAATAAAGAACAAAACTCGGTTATTAGCTTTACACAAACAATTCAGAAGAGTTAACACAAAATTGAAGAAAAAATGCACAAAAAGGAGTAGTACCACCAAAAATTTGTAACTTTTTTTGTTACTTTTCACGATGGGTTTCTTGTAACCCAATTTGACCAACTCTTGGTCAAGTCTGGTAATCTTGTCCAAAAGTGGTACCACCTGCTTGTCCCTCCAAAAACTCGTCAAGAGAGTGAAAGTCACAAAGGAGACATAGCCGATGTAGCGAAAATTTGCAAGAAATTTAAAAGTTTTGATTTTGCTAAACTCTTTATGCAGTTTTGATGAGAAACTCGTCAAGTAGAAGAAGGCCACGGTGAGATATAGCACCAAAATTATCAAAATTTTTAGTCGTACTGAACTGAGATTTTTGGTACTTGCGAAGGTACCACCAAGGAGGCGGTTTAGGGTCACTAGAGGTGTTAAAATTTGCCCAAGTTTCAGCATTTTCACCGGTGTTTGACTGTTTTTTTCCTTTCAGTCAATCAATAATTAATTACTCAACCTATTTAATCATGAAAATTGATAAGAATACTACAAACACCACCTCGGAGTAATCATTTTTTCAATAATCCAAAAAAATTTACTTTGAAAAAAAAACATGATGGTACTTTTTTCACGATCTTGAAACAAATTCAAAATTTGGAACCCACTTTTCACAAAATAGGTACTACTAAATAGAAAAATTAGGTAAATCAAGCAATGATGGTACTATTGAGTGGTACTACTTATTGTGATTTTCGAAAAAATAGTACCAACAAATTAATAGTAAAAGTCAAAAATTGATGATCACAAAGATAAAAAATGAGGTAAAAAATATTTTTTCTAATTTATTATAATTAGTGGTACTTCAGGAGTACCTCTTGTAGAAAAGCTACAGTATAAATGTCACGTGTAAATTTCACAATTCTTGTTGACAAAGTAACATTTGGTTCTTTATCGATAAAAACAATTTTTCAATTGTGGTACTTTAGGAGTACCACTATTGTAGAAAAAATACAGTATGAACTAGAGGTGTAAATTTACAAATTTTCTTATTAAAAAGACTTCCATATATCGACTGAATTAAATAAATGAGTTATCGATTGTAATAAATTAAAAAAAAACATGGTGGTACTTTTTTCACGACCTGAAAACAAATTCAAAATTTGGAATCCACTTTTCACAAGATAGGTACTACTAAATAGAAAAATTAAGCTAGCAATGATGGTACTGTTGAGTGGTACCACTTATTGTGTGATTTTCAAGAAAATAGTACCAACAAATTAATACTAAAAGTCAAAAATTGATGATAACAAAGATAAAAAATGAGGTACTAAACAAAAAAAAAATTTTTTTTATTTATTTTAGTTAGTGGTACTTCAGGAGTACCTCTTGTAGAAAAAATACAGTATAAACCTCACGTGTAAATGTTGCAATTCTTGTTGACAAACTAACATCTGGTTCTTTATCGATAAAAACAATTTGTCAATTGTGGTACGTTAGGAGTACCACCATTGTAGAAAAAATACAGTATGAACCACACGCGTTATTTTACAATTTTTGTTATTAAAACACTTCCATATATCGACTGAATTAAATAAATGAGTTATCAATTTAATAAATTAAAAAAAAATCATGGTGGTACTTTTTTCACAATCTTGAAACAAATTCAAAATTTGAAACCCCACTTTTCAGAAAATAGGTACACAAAATAGAAAAATTAAGAAAATCACGCAATGATGGTACTGTTGAGTGGTACCACTTTTTGTGTGATTTTCAAGAAAATAATACCAACAAATTAATACTAAAAGTCAAAAATTGATGATCAAAAATATAAAAAATGAAGTACTACCCAAAAAAAAATTAATTTATTATAATTAGTGGTACTTCAGGAGTACCTTTGTAGAAAAACTAGAGTGTAAACCTCACGTGTAAATGTTACAATTCTTGTTGACAAACTAACATCTGGTTCTTAATCGATAAAGACAATTTTTCAATTGTGGTACTTTAGGAGTACCACCATTGTAGAAAAAACACAATAAGAACCACATGCGTAAATTTACAAATTTTGTTATTAAAACACATCCATATATCGACCGAATTAAATAAATGAGTTATTGATTTTAATAAATTTAAGTGCTTTAATAGAATTGGTCCTTAATAGCACTTTGGGGCACACTCAATCTAATCAACCATGAATACGTTTCAAATTTTCCGTTCAATTAAAATATTGGCCGATATTTTTGGTTTAAGCCCTTTGAACCAAAATCTGACCTTGTCCCCCCTTAAAGTACTCCAAATTGTGATTTTTGGTACCACTTGTGTCTACTTGACGTACCTCTACATTTGGCATATTTTCACCGGAATGACCTTCAGTGGTGTGGCGTCTCCTACTATCATGAAATTTATCCTCACGTGTCGTACGGGTTCCTTCACGTGTCTCATGGTCGTGGTGGTACTTTCAAGTGGTACCACTTTTAAACTAATGAGGAAATCGTTCAAAAAACTTGCTAAAATCGATGAGGAGTTGGTAAAATTGGGCCAGAAAGGGTACCTTGAGCGACGCAATGGAGATATATGTCGTATTGGGGTACTACTCCAAATTGTAATGTTTCTAGTGTTTGATACCCTTGGGGGTTTGTATAGTACCTCTAGTAAAAGTTCGAAAAAAGTTGAGTATTTTTTGGTACATTGGTACCCCCGTATGCTGATAAGTATCAAACTAGTGGCCCAGTTTTTGGTACTAATGGTACTCAAAGCTCGGTTTGAGTCCATCAACAACATTTTGGGTACCAAAACAGTACCAATTGGTACTATTGACAACTTGGTTAAGATGCACACTAATCTGGTCAAAATTTCCGAAGTGGTTCATGAGGGTTTTTCACTTTTTTGCCTAATTTGGATCAGTGTGATTTTTGTGGTACTAATAGGTGACGCCTATGCTGTTCTTAATGCGGTACTTTTTGACAATGTGTACAAATCGTTGCCTATTGTCTTAAGTATTGTTAAAAATTGTCTCAGTTATTGTTTCAATTTGTACCACTTGGCCTCAAAATCGAACCAATTGTGTCGCGAGGTAAGTACCAAAAGTGTGAGTGGTACCACTGATCAATTTTCAGGCACAGGCCACTAAGACCGTTCTTTTGGGAATCAAAATAGACATTTGCAAGGAAGAGGAACGAAATTCGGTATGGTACCACTTGGTAGTACCAATTGATAATTTTTTCAAGGTCATAGCGTCAGTTTTGCGATTAATGGAAAACAAATTAGAGATAACTGCATGCCGGCTTTTTAATATTGATAACGCGTTGTTATTTGCGGTACGATAGGTGTTTATAAAAGTGGTACTGAAATGGTACTTTCAGATTTGTGGTTCCGCGTTTTCGTATTTGTTCATCATGGTCCAGTTTGACATCAATGGGACGAAAAACCACAATGGTACCACCAATGGTACCATGTGAACGTTATGGTACTCACCTGCAAGTACTGTCTGGAGGCCACAACAAGCCAGGAGAGCAAAAATCAGGCGCTGGTTCGCCATCTGGAACCAAATAAATTTTTGAGGTTACTGCTGTCGTACCATTTTAACGGTATTTCAATCTCATTCAGAGTGTCACCGATTCATTCTCCGTTAGTTTTAGTTAGAATTAAGAAAGTAAAATAATCAATTTTTGGTCATTTCTAGTAACCTAAATTGATAAAAACAAGGTTTGTGTGATAATAATGGTACTAAAATTTGCGATAAGAGACACGCGATTGGTGTCATCGAATTTTTTATGTAAGATCTGATAATTTAGGAGGTAATACCTGTAATTACAATAATTACAGCGTCAATTTATTACTGTATTATTACAAAAGTGACATTTTAAAAGCTGCCATTAACTTGTAATTCTTAATTAAATTGCTAAATTTGTCGGTGAGGTGGAAAAATCGACTTCCGGTGACATTTATTAGTTAGTTCACTCAACTCTGGGATTCCTTCAAGATGAAACATTTTTGTTGCATTGTTGGCAACATGTGTGAGATTATTTCGATTGTGTGAAGTTCTAAGGCACCACCTGTTCGGTTTTTTTTTTCTAGTTCATTTTTTTGAATTAATTCTAGTTAAATTCTAAAACAGAAAAAAAATCCTTTGGAAAGAATTTTATACAATTTCTGAAACAGAAATTTCTGATTTTTTAAAGAAGACTTGTTTGCAATAATTTTCTTTTACTATTTCTTTAACTCTTTATTGTTAACATAAACTGCAAAAAAAACAGAACTAGAAGGATTTTTAAATTAGGTATATCTCTAATTTCTGAATGATAATACTAGAAAGAAAAAACTTTCTTTTCGTAGATTTGGAAAACCTTTTCCTAAAAATTGAAAAGGTAATTAAATCCTCACATCTGTTTAGTAGTAAAATTAGGTATTAAAAAACTCATTTTTGGCTTTTAAAAATAGAAATTTCTTAATTTAAATTTTTTTTTAATTTTGAAACCAAGCAAACTACTATCTACAATTTTTGAAACAAAAATTTCTGATTTTTGAACAAAAAACAGGTTTTTGTTAACAATCGTTGTTCAAAAGTAGGTATATCAAAATGAGCCTTAATGGTTATAAAATTTTCTTTATAAATTAAGAAATTTTTATTTTGTCACTTTAAAAAATTTCTGTTACCCTCTAGGACCATGTGTGTAAAAAAAAACAACTAAAAAATTGTTTCACCAAAAAGAACACCTCTTCTGTTTTAGGAAATCGCCAAAATACAATTTCTGAAACAGAAATTTCTGATTTTTTAAAGAGAAGAGTTTCTTGAAATAATTTTCTTTTACTATTTCTTTAACACTTTATTGTTAACATAAACTGCAAAAAACAGAACTAAGATGGTTTTTAAATAATATTTCTGATTTCTGATTGATAATACAAGAAAGAAAAAACTTTTTTTGTAGTTTTGGAAAACCCTTTCCTAAACATTAAAAAGATGATAAAATTCGTAGTAAAATTAGGTATTGAAAAACTCATTTTTACCTTTTAAAAACAGAAATTTCCGAATTTAATCAAATATTTTTTTTTATTTTTAAACCAAGCAAACTACTATCTACAATTTCTGAAACAAAAATTTCTGATTTTTGAACGAAAAACCAGTTTTTTGTTAACAATCGTTGCTCAAAAGTATATCAAAATGAACACTAATGGTTATAAAATTTTCTTTATAATTTAAGAAATATCTAATTTGCCCCTTTAAGAAATTTCTTTTACCCTCTAGGAACATGTATGTAAAAGAAAAAACAATTCAAAATTTGTTTAACCAAAAAAACACCTCTTCTGTTTTAGTAAATCCCTGAAATACAATTTCCGAAACAGAAATTTCTGATTTTGAAATCTAATCCTCCTCAAACAATTTTATACCACTATTTCTTCAAATTAAGGAAAACTACAATAAACAGTAAGGACCAGAACTGTTATAAAATGCTTAATTTTTACCTTTCAAAAACAGAAATTTCTGAATTTCATTTTTTTTTAATTTTGAAACCAAGCGAACTACTATCTTCAATTTCTGAAACAAAAATGTATGATATTTGAACAAAAAACAGTTTTTTGTTGCCCAAAAGTATATCAAAATGAATCTTAATTGTTATAAAATTTTCTTTATACTTTAGAAAATTTCTAATTTTTCACTTAAAGTAATTTCTTTTACCCTCTAGGACTATGTGTGTAAAAGATAAAACAGAAAAACATTTTACCAAAATTCTCACAATAAATACAATTTCTGAAACAGAAATTTCTGATTTTGAAATGTAATCTTCCTTAAACAATTTTCTATTACTATTTCTTCAAATTAATGAAAACTACAGACCAGAACGGCTTTCATATAGATAACTGCTATAAAAAACTTGATTTTTGCTTTTCAAAAACAGAAATTTCTGAATTTCGAATTTAACGAAACAGTCATTTTGTACATTTTTTTACTTTGAAGAAAAACAAACTACTACCCACAATTTCTGAAACAAAAATTTTTGTTTTTTGTACCAGTTTAAGAAATTTCTTTTAGCTTCCAAGACTATGCGTGTAAACAGAAAAACAATTAAAATTTTGTTTAACCAATAGAAACACTGTTGGTAAATACCCAAAGTTCTGACACCGAATACAATTTCTGAAACAGAAATTTCTGATTTTGAAATCTAATCCTCAATCAATTTTCTATTACTATTTTATAAAATTAATGAAAACTACAGTAAAAAGTAACTTTTTTCCCAGAAATAGAAATTTCTGAATTTCAAATTTAACGAACCTTTTTACAATCTTAAAGTTGTTTTTACCAACATATTTTAATTTTGAGACGAAACAAACTCCTACCCAAAATTTCTAAAACAAGTTTTTTGTACCAGTTTAAGAAATTTCTTATTACCTTCTAATGGAAAAAATTAAAATTTAACTCTGTTTCTGATTTTTTCAACTATAAAATGTTACATTAGAGCTCACAAAAATTTGATTTGAACGAATTGAAAGACTTTCTTAGTAGTGTGTAAATACAGAAACAATATTTTTTTTATTTTGTTTGGCCAATAGAAACACTGCTTCTGTTTCGGTAAATCCCGGAAATTCTCACACGGTGTGTCACTCAAAACCCCGTTATTCGCATTTTTATCTCGCGTTTAATATTTACAAACCTCTCCGTTAGTTTTCCTGTTTCCGTTAACAATTTACATAACAATACAAATCTTCATGAGTAAAAACAGTCATTTCAGACACGAAAACAGTGCGAAAATTGTCTCTTTTTCCACTCTGTCGACCCCAACGAATGTAAATTTACCACTTTTACTTAGCTGCAGATCAATTGTAGAAACTTTATTAGAAAATTTATCTCAGGAGACTTTCTCTCAACAGAAAAAATCCATCGGTGGCGTTTATATCGACGTAAATATGAATAATAATAAGAAAATGGTGATAACGAAAAAAAATTAAACTGGTATGGAGGAATGTGAAAGGAGTACTTATAAAATTCTGCATAGATTATATCTTGGGGGCTCATCATAAATCGTTGATGCAATCAAGAGTGCATAATTGCGCATTTCAAAGAGAAGAAGAAACAGTTGACACAAATTGTGAAGAAAAAAAAAACTGAAGACAGATTTTTAAGTCAAATTTTTTATGCATTCACTAGTCAAAAAACAAGAAAAATCATAAAAATTTAAGTAGGGAACA